GTTTAGTCTCCGCCATGCTCCACATACGGACACTGGAAAGCATGCTATACGGGATGTTAAACGGTCGCTATCCAGATACACACGAACACAAAGTCGTCAGCGTTGGTAGAATGACAGTGGGGAAACACTTCGATCTATTTGTTGGCCTGAATAGAAAAAGCGGCCAACCAGTTGCGATGAAATACGTAGAAATGGCAGCAATGCATCGTAATCCTCTGATCGTCATACCGCCGTCTTTGATTCAGATGTATTTGGCGGGGTCGCAGATTGACAAAGAGCATTTAAGTAATTGTTTATTGCAAGCGATTGCCTTCTATGAATTGGCAGTCTATAATAAAGCTGAGAATTAGTATTCTAGCGTTTGTATCCTGCTGATGTTATTTATGCAATACGTTTATGTTTCTCGTGCACACAAAACAAATGAACCCTAACCACAGTAATCAACAAGGAATTGACCCTAGGAAAAGTTAAGAGAATGGTTACATTTTGCTCTCAGTTTTTGAAAAAAAGTTGAAAGTCACAGTATCAGTTGGTAAAGGACATCTGTGACATTTATGCACATTGCTGAAATGACAATGTCTCCTTAGGCAACCAGTAACACTGTTTCATCAGCACTGATTGGTCACAGCAAAAATTTTCTTCACTGCCTGTGCCAGGTTGGCCATTAATCATCAGTTAAACAAAAGGAATGAAATGAACCTAAACCTTTTGTGACATATGGGTTAGTGGTAGTACAAAGATTACAAAAATTAAATATTCCCCGAGGAAAATTAAAATAACTTTCATCTATTTCTATGTACGTCTCATCCTCGCCTGATGACTGCTGGCCAAACTTAAGCCATTGTGAATCATAATGTTGGTTATTTTAATAATATACTTACTAGAATTATGTTCCAGGAGAGAGGGATGATAAATAAAGCTCAAATAACAAAAGTTATTTTGTACACAAACATGTAATTTAATTATCACTATATTGGATGAATACATGGCAATCCATTTCCACCATGTCGTCCATGTCAATAAATAATAAAGATTGTAATTTTTGTACAAAATAAATCTTACATTCAACTTTTTTATTGGAAATATTCATCATGTATTAACAGACTGTATCTTGTATAGTCCAGCATTGAATAAGACTTTCCATTGTACCCCCAATCTTAAATCTAACCCAACCACAACACTCCATCTCCCCAAAAATTAATTGTATATGTCCCTCACCGCGACACCAGGTATCTAGAGGGGTATATACAATTGATTTGGGAGGAGGGTTAGAGATTTGTCAGGGTAAGGGGTGGAAGTATAACTAAAAGACTGTTGCACAAGACAAGAAGCCGAGATTCCACTTGTCAACTACTGATGGTGATTAGTTTTCTTGCTTGATTTCTTAGCTTTCTATTTCAGCCTGCTTATATTGTTTCCCCAGTTGAGTACTACCGGTACTGCTAGGGAGGCGATGAGCCATAATCAGGAAAATGATTTTGACAATGCATGCAACAAGTTGAATATAGCGAATATGCACTTCCCTTTACAGGTACGATATGTTTTAAGTTTGACATTGGACCCAACATAGTTAGTCTTTCGTCCAACTTGTTACCCACTCATCACTAATGTCTGGGCCAATATTTCACCTTTGGTACCATTTACGCTGGTTATATCTCGAGTTGCTGATAACATTTGGCTTATTAACCCAAGCTAAACGTAATGCATGAATAAATAAATAGAGCAATTACATTGTACAATCAATTTGAATTACATTCATTAATGTATTTTTATTTAGATAGTCAGAATACACTGAAGTCAACAAACCCATGTATGTTATAGATTAATTATGAACCAAAATGGCAGTTATACACATTGCACGAGTTCATGCAGTGACATCATCGGATAAACCAGCTGTTGTAATTTGTCAAGAAAGGAGGTGCTACTGACTGAGCCAATCATCTCAGTTGAATGAGACTGACTTCAGACGAAAGCTGATTGTTTTATAAATATTTCTAAGTATAGTATATATACAAATACAAAAGATGGGTTTGTTGACTTCAGTGTACTCTGCTGTTGTTTTGTTGTAGAGGTATAAATAGGTGGTATCCCAGAGATATTCACTTGATCTCAATGATTATTTTCTGTACATCTTCATTTCTACATTACAATTAAAATACAACATCAGTACAAAATTGGAGCTGCATAAAAAAAATAACATGTGTATTGGAAATCAGAGGATGCATTATCCAGTCAATTACACTAATGTATCTCATTGCACGACATCTTACAGAGAGCCTAAATTTAGGCCTGAATATTTTGATATACGCTAGGACAGTCTTGGGTGGTGATAAAAACAATGTCATCTGATCAACAACTCCACTGTCATGTCATCTCAACACTATGATTCATCAACTTTACTTTTTTTGTCCTCAAAATCGCTGTATCCCAATTTACTGAGTGGTTCTTTGGCCATGAGTTGTCTGAAAAATGACAAAATAAATTAATGTGGAAGCACACGACAAATGGCCAAGTTGAGCAATACAACCAGGTGGTTGGTTATTCTCACTTTCTTATAAATTTCTTGAAAACAGCAGTACAGCATTTATATGTCACTTTTAAGTACTACTGTAAAATCTGTATTAGAAACCGCGGCTTCTATTAAAATGGTACAATCCAATAGAGGGGGTGCGGCTTCTATTAGAGCATCTACACATATGAGAAATGATGATTTTATGGTTCTCAATTGTTTAAAAAGAATGGGTGCGACTTCTATTAGGGATGCGGCTTCTAATACAGATTTTACGGTAATGTGAATGCTTTAATTATTTACTGGTAGTTTGTTATTTTTCCTGATAAGCAAATTCCACTAAATCACTTGAACATGTAAAAATCATCGTCTGATTCGTACAGTTTTGCTGAAGATGACCATCAATGGCTGTCCCTATGAACAAATTCATGATTGTGTTAGGAAAAGCTGTATTTAATTATAAGATTTGATTGGGCACGCCAAGGAGCTGTATCCTTCAATCAGCATTCCTGTAACGTTATGCACTGTTGTGTTTGATTTCGTTGACAGCGAATACAGGTTCATCGTGGAAATCCTGCCAAGGCATAATAGTGAGCCACATCCCAGTGAATTTAACATATAGTGAATATCCCTGCAATTCAAATCCGCTAAAATCAAATGCAGTGAGTGTATTTTCGTTTTATGCATGAGGCGTTTGTGGTGAACCAAATCTATGGATCGTTGGATCTATGGTCAAAATGGGTCATATTTTAATAATCTATTATATGTAACAAATGTAATTTTGGCGATGTGCTTTGAATCAAGCACATATGACTACTAAACAGAATACAGTACATGGCACCGTTATTATCCAGGTAAGAGCCCGTGCCCGGGCAAACTTCTACCCCCCCCCCCCCCAATTTTGATACAATTAAGAAATTGAGCTGGTGTCCGGACATATGCCCAGGGGTCTTTTCCCACAATAAAATAAAAATAAAATATAAAAATATTTTTGTTTGTTGTATTAACAGTTGACTTTCTTGCAGTCTGTTGTGGTTCTGATAAAAATTCTTGAAAAATAAATGTTGACTGCGTAAAACAAGGAATGAACGGGAAATAGCTGTGACAGCAAAATAGGTAATTTCACGTCCTGCATTCAGGGCAGCGCGTTCACCGCTGTTTACTGAATTTACATTTATTGGTGAGACCGACTGGACAAGAACGCATAAAATTACACCCGGTTTTAATGTATGAGAGATCTTTTATTGATCAACCATTCAATTCTGTGAATAACAATAAACAGAAAACTATTTTCAGTTAAAAATACATCACAACAAACTCATTCCCCTTACTCAGTATTATTTGTATTGACTCACATATCACACATGTCTAAATTTGTCTCAACAAAATGACCAATGACATTAAAATTACTAATAAAATTTTAACTCACTACTGGGATCGG